GCCCCGTGCCTAAAAAAAAAAAAAAAAAAAAATGCTCTTACTCACCAGGTGCTGCTGGGCAGGGGTGGCGATCCCTGATGCCCCCCACTGCATGGGAGGCTTTGCCATGACCCCCCTGACCCCAACCCTTGCTCCCCCAGCCCCCCACAGCTGCCCCACCCAAGCCAGCTCTGGCCCTTTAAGAAGAACCTCCCCCAAGTAAAGCCCCAGGACTCACCACTCCTGCAGCGGCCTCAGGGGTCTCCTGCAGAGCCTCCCACCTGGTGTGGGGCAGTGGGGATCCTCCTCCCCCCACCAGCAGGAAGGTATGGGGGGGGCTCAGTTTGTTTTTTTTCTTAAAGGGCCAGAACTGCAGTGGGTGGAGCAGCTGTGGGGGGCGGGGTTGGGGGGCTTGTGCAGAGCCCCCCATTCAGCGTGGGGCAGTGGGAATCGCCCCCCCACCCAGCAGCACCTGCTGAGTCAGGGCTTTTTTTTCCCCCCCCGCAAAGTGCTGGAAACTAGGGGGCAGCCAGGGCAGACATTGCTGGGGCTGGGAGAGTGGGCGGGGGAAGGGCCTGGGTGATTCGGTTGAATCAATTCGGGGTAGTGATTCGAATCAACGAATCGAATCACTGTCCCCCGAATCAAATACTATCTGCTTTGCACAGGCCTAGTGGGCAGCTCTGACAGATGGCCTGTAAAGTGAGTGCATAACTCCTCTGGCTTCCACTGGGCATCTCTGCCCACACCAGGGTGAGTGCAGTCATGCCCAGGACGCACCGACTCTTGGACCCTGCTGTGCACCTTGCATAACAGGCTCAGAGTCTGTAACTGGGACTCTCAGGGGCCAAGGTCAAGGCCACACTTCTGGGAAGAGCCCTGAACAGGTGGACACATGGCAACAGCTCAAGCTGAGTCTCCCTTTGTGCCTCACTCACTCCAGGTAAGTTCCTGAGGAAGATGCAGTAGCAAGGGAGGTCACAGGAGTGCATGTGGGTGGCAGACATGTTTCTCAGAGCTCAGCACTCCCAAACTGGGAAAAGTCCCAGTCAGAGTTCAATGCCAGCCTGTGCTACCCTTTCCTGCCCGCACATCTAGAGAACACAGTACCCACCCTTGTTGCTCCAACTTACATGTCAGGATTCTCATGTAGAGCTGCAAACTGCTCTTCCATCCTGCAGGGAGAAAGGGGTGGATAATAATGGCCAGCAGAATGCACCACAGCACCCATGGCTCCAGGACTCTGCGCTGGGGCAAGAAAGGGGCACCCGGCTGAGCATCACTTGGAGGCTGTGTACCATACTGCATGGAGCCTCACATCCTCAGTTATATGGTACTGGTTAAGGACAGGTTGCTGCAAGCCTGGAGTCAGACTTTCAGGGATCACTTGGAAGGAACAAGCTCAGCAGCGAGTGACACTTTGCCCAGCAGAATACTCCCCCTGACGTAGCCTGCAGGGGCTCTCACCCTGTGTGTTTGTACACATGTAAATAAGATCAAGGCTGGAGGGAAGTTCATCCTACATGCAGGGGATATCAGATGCCAGTCCAGAGCCAGCTGCTAGTTCTCTAGATACACTGTACCCTTAGCCCAGGTCAATGCATTGCTAGAATTGAGCCAGGCCCAACTTTTTACAAGTTTCTACTAGTTTGGGTGAGTCTTAGCAGAAACATTAGGTTAAGTGTTTGCAGGCATCTCTTGGCCCCACCAGTGCCTGGGTTGAGGCAGTTTCACCAGGGCTGTTAGTTTGGTTGCAGTGTGATGGGCTTACTTGTCTCCTCCCAGAATCAGCACAGTCTTCAGGCCTGTGAATTTGCCCAGCTGCAGGATAAGAAGCAAAAGAGAGTTAAAGCGCAGTCTGATATCAAACCACCTATTGCTCCTACTCCTCTCCAAGTCCATGAAACATCTTCAACTGCTGAGGTCCCCAGGGTGCAGGGGGCTTGACTGTAACTACAATCAAGCTGCCTACATTCTCCCTCTGGTCTTGTTCCTCTTACTCTTATATCCATCTGCTCGCTCTCTGAGCACTGGCTGGTCTGGCTTTAACCCTGGCTGCCAGAGAGGTCAAGTACACTCCCTGTCACTCATGGGATGCCCACACAGCAACTCCAGGAAGTGCTCAAGAGAAGTGGCAGCAGCAGCCAAGCCCTGCTTAACCAGGAAGGCTAAGGAAAGATGGGCCTTTGGAATCCTTGTTAAGTGAGTGAACTCTGAAAGCAGCCAGCACCCAATGTTTCAAAAGGGATGTTGCAAGGGGGTCAGAGAGTGGACAATTACAGAATATCTGGCCTACAAGGAAAAATTCCCTCTTAATCTCAAATAGTTGCCCAACACCCTGCTCATAAAAGTGGCTCCCTCTTTCTTTCTTTCTTTTAAATCTAGTTCTGCCTTATTCAGGTTCTTACATGCCCATACAACTGAAAGAGAAGTAGGGCTAGAAGGGACCTGATGATGAGGTCAGCTAGTCCAATCCCCTGCTCCAGACAGGCTCATCCTTGTCTAACGATCCTAGACAAGCATTTGCCTGACTGTTTTTAAAGACACTGAGAACAACCTTTTCATACAAAGGGCAGGCAAAACACCAAAACACCAAGAATACCTTAATTACCCACAGGTAAAGCAAAAGGATGAGGGCAACCTCACTACGGTATCTGTGAACATTCTTACTCTACTTATACAATCTTCTTATGCTCTTGGCTTCAATGATATCCCATGGCAATGAGGTTAAGTGTCATGCAAGAAGCCCTCCCTTGCCCATGGCTGCAGCGCATTGCCTCCCTGTATTACTACAAGTGCTCAAGCCCTGACAGCGAGGGCTCCTAGCTATTCTAGCCCCCATCTCAGCAGGGGCTGCTTTTCCTGGACCATACCTCCTTTGTGAACTTCATGGTCTGTAAGGCGAGCTCGCGAGTTGGTGAGAGGATGAGGGCACGTGCTCCTGTCTGCGCGCTATGTGCCTTCAGCTTCTCAAACATCGGGATAAGGAAACAAGCTGTCTTCCCGCTGCCCGTCCGGGCCATCGCCACCACGTCTTTCCCGTCTAATATCACTGGGATGCTCTGCAGGATAAAACCAAGAAACACCGTTGATTCACCCTATGGAATCCATTCCAGATGTGCTGGGGAACCTGCTCCACCTGCGACGTTGGACAAGTCTGTGGAGGCAACCTAAGGAAGCCAGTGAACATACCGTATATCTGAGAACCTGTCACTCACCTTTCTCTGGATGGGTGTTGGCACGTTGTATCCCTTTTTCATGATACCTTTGAATACAGGATAGCTTAAGCCTAGAAGACAAATATGATCGTGTAAGCACTGTTCAATTTCTTTATCAGCGATTTGGACGACAGGGTGAAAAGCAACCTGTTCAAATTTGCTGATGATACCAAAATATGGGGAGAGGTGGGCACGTTAGCAGGGAGGGAGAGACTGCAGAAAGACCTGGATAGGTTGCAGGGGTGGGCTAACAAAAACAGGATGCATTTCAATACGGACAAGTGCAGGGTGCTGCACTTAGCCAGTAGTAACCGGCAGCACACTTATAAGATGGGAAACTCCCTTCTTGAGAGCACGGAGGCAGAAAGGGATCTTGGAGTCATTGTTGACTCCAAGATGAACATGGGCCAACAACACAAGGTCACGGTCGGCAGGGCTAACCGGACCTTATCGTGCATCCATAGATGCATCTCAGGTAGGTCCAAGGAGGGGATCCTCCCCCTCTACACAACACTGGTCAGGCCACAGCTGGAGTACTGTGTCCAGTTCTGGGCACCCCACTTCAAGAGGGATGTGGACAACATTGAGAGGGTCCAGAGGAGGGCCACGCGCATGATCCGGGGACTGAAAGGCAGGCCCTACAATGAGAGGCTACGGGACCTGAACCTGTTCAGCCTTCACAAGAGAAGGCTGAGGGGGGACCTGGTGACCTCCTATAAACTCACTAGGGGAGACCAGAAGGGTTTGGGGGAGACTGTTTCCCCTCGCGCCCCCCAGGATAACAAGGAATAACGGCCACAAGTTGTTGGAGAGTAGGTTTAGATTAGACATCCATAAGAACTACTTCACAGTCAGGGTGGCTAGGATCTGGATCCAACTTCCAAGGGAAGTGGTGCTGGCTCCTACCCTGGGGGGCTTTAAGAAGCAGCTCGATGCCTACCTGGCTGGGGTCATTTGAGCCCAGTTTTCTTCCTGCCCAGGCAGGGGGTCAGACCTGAAGATCTGCAAGGTCCCTTCCGACCCTACTTCTATGATTCTATAAGCAAGTGCCCACTGCAGACCAAGAGCACAGTACAGACAGCTCCTGTGACTTCAGTGCAAGCCCTGTAATACTTGGGCTTCTTTCTTCAAGCTCCAGTGCCTGGAGTCCTGTGACTAGATGGTGACCCTGGCTCCTACCGACAAGAGGCATCTAGGCCCAATAATTGTACATAAAAGCTCATGAACATGGTTTGGACTCAGGTGGATGCAGGGACTATGGAAGTTTCTCTGAACCAGAACTCATGGGTCTGCGGAGCCGGGCAATGCTGGAGGCTTGAACTGTGCCCTGCTATGGGCCTGCCCGCTCTCTTAACAAAAAATGCCATAATGCAGCCCTATAAAAAACAACAGTCCAGAGGCCAACAAGGCACAGGCCTGAATCAGGCTGGTACTACCGGCTCCTCCACGAGGCACCCACGGCCTGCTCCACCCCAGGGCAACCGCTGCCTGCCCGCCTCGGGGCCGCTCACCCATGGACTGGAAGCCCCCCGACTTCTTCTTCTTCCGGTTCTGGGCTCGCACCATCTCCCTCGTGTCCGGCTCCACGTCAGTCCAGAGGCCAACAAGGCACAGGCCTGAATCAGGCTGGTACTACCGGCTCCTCCACGAGGCACCCACGGCCTGCTCCACCCCAGGGCAACCGCTGCCTGCCCGCCTCGGGGCCGCTCACCCATGGACTGGAAGCCCCCCGACTTCTTCTTCTTCCGGTTCTGGGCTCGCACCATCTCCCTCGTGTCCGGCTCCACGTCCGAGGCGCAATCGGGGGTGGGGAAGGCCGGGAGCATCTTGGCGGACGCCTGCTCGGGGGGAGACAAGACAGCTGTGCCCGGGCCGCGACAGACCGGCGGGGCGGGGGT